ATGGAGCCTACAAAACACGACCAGGGTGTGCCAGGAAGATCCAGCTGGTCCCTCTGCGCGGCCCTCCTGCAGGCCAGCTGCTCACTTCTTGGAAAGAGGGGCCCCACGTCATTCACTCTGGCCAGTGGGTCACGTTAATCCTTCTTCTGACCTTTGGGACCCCCAGGACCGCATGAGGTGGGGAAGGCAAGGTGCTCGACAAACAGCATGAACCGCAATGTCAGGGGAGGGCAGCCCGCCCTGCCCACATCACCCCCGTGTTCAGAGAAGCCCCATGATGGATGCTCCGGGGGGCCCTCAATACAGACACAAGAAAAGAAAGGTCCAGAGAGGCTAAAGGGCTTGCCCAAAATGATGGGGTGGTGCCAAATTCCAAAAGAAGGTGTGGGGGAGGGAGAGGGCAGGAAGGAAGTAGGGAAGGAGGGAAAGGAAACTGCACATAAATAAGCCAAGGTGAGGATGAATGCAGGTCACCTCCTCGACGGCCCAGGAGTACCACCAGCCGTCACTGCCTGGCCCAGGGACACCCCCACAGCCCTGCATGCTCCCCCTGATGGATCGGCAACGGACAACTGTGCAGGGAAGCCAATCCGCAGCCCGCCTGCTGACCCAGCCGCGGAGGACTGGCTCAAAAGGCTGTGCTGGCCTAAGCCGCTTCTGAGCACTGGAAGCCGGGGAAAGCAAAAGTGGCCCCGGGGGCAGGTCTGGCCAAGGACTGTTGTGCACTGGCTGGCAGCCATCCCTGGGCCAGGTGCATGCTGGGTGAGTGGCACAGACCAGGTGACGGGGCGGGGGGCGACACGGGACGTGCAATTCCTGCAAAGCAGCTTCATTTCTCAGATCCTGGTTCTCAGGTCCTCCTCGACCCGCTGTGCTTGGTCTGGATCCTTCCAATCACCCTCCTATTTCTCTTGAGCAAGTCTGAGAGCATATTTAATTCCTTTTCATCTTTAAGAACTTTCTAGACACTGGTTCCATTCTTACAGACAAGGAAACCGAGGTCCAAAGGAATTAATTTATGCAAAATGCTCATGGATTCATGACTGAAATTCATCTACACTTAGAAAAGAGGAAAGTGCTAAAGCTCTTTGCAGAGACACTTTTCTGACCCAAGAAGAAAATACATTCACTCTGCCCTTCCCAACGCCCCGTGAGCTTTAAATAACGAACTAACGAAGGGGAAAACTCAAGCCGGAGAGATAGGGTCATGTGGGGTTTTCTGATTGGCTTGGGGAGTTCTTTGTAGTCTGAGCGGGTTTCAGCAAGAGATTGGGAGGCTCTTGAAATAAACGATGGTGGAGTCTTCCTTCACTCACACCTTTATCTCCAAACCAAGTATGTTAAAAATTTCTCATCTGTCCTCAAGACTTCCCTGCTTGAAGGAGGCTGAAGAGGGCGGGCCGGGGACGAGGCTAACACACAGGCTTTTAAGAACGCAGATGCCGTTCTGAGTGTAACTCAGCGCCGGGAATGATGCTCGGCTCTCTCATCTGTCCGCATTCCCCAGGTTCCCCAAAGCCGGCTCATGACCTCACTCAGATTCAACCGCACTCTTAATGAGGCACCACTGATGGGAGACATTTGCAGGCAGAGGTTTTGAAAGAGGCTGAGCCATGTCTCAGGTCCGATGCATGGCTGGGGGGCTGCCCTCTGGGACAATGTGAGGTCAGACCTTGCCCCCGGGGGTGTCCGTGCAGACCTCAGCAGGTGCAGAATCGCGGTGGCCCTGGGTCACCTGGCCAGCGACAGTCCCAGCAGGCCTCGGCGTCCTGCCGTGAAGGATGCCGGACTGAGCTCTGTCTTGAGGACATGTGAAAGCGGGAACCCCCTACATACAGACTGGAGCCCAGTTCCACCCTCAAGAGCCACCGCTTAGTAGGTGCCAGGGGATGGGGGCAGGGGCGATGGGAATAATTACCTCAGGGTACAGGGGATTCTCCTGGGGTGATGAGAAAGCAGTACAGCAGGGAGAGCTGGTGGCTACGCAACGCTCTGAAGGCACTCGATGCCAGGAAATGGCACACTTTAAAATGGTTCATTGGATGTTATGTGAATTTCACCTCGGAACAAAACAAAAGCCCCAAAACCCCACCCCATCAGAAAGGTCTGGAGAAGCCTGGTCTGAAAAGTAGCCCCTGAAAAGAAGAATTCACTGGTGCTTCTCCACATGGTCCAGGCCGAGGGTGCCTGGCCAGAGTGGGCCCTACACCGAGACAGAAGAGGGGTCCAGATAGCCGAAGGGTAGCTTCCTTTAAGATCAACTCATTCCTGAATTGTATCCTTGACTTTCAAGCAAATGGACAGTTCTATGAGAAAAAGTTGGTTTCACCTCTAAAAATTAGCTCTGCGGCTCACATTTGTGGCTTGTCATTTGTTCTTATTGGTTAGCACTGGACTCGGGGATCCTTGCCTGCGTGAGGCATGTGTCCTCCCAGGAACCAGGTAAAGAGCGGGGGTGGGCCACAAAGGAGTGGCTTAGGGCATGAGCCTCACCTCTTATCTGTCAAATGGGCAGGACAGGGCCCTCCTGCAGGGCTGGAGGAAACAAAACAGGGGCGGGTGGTTAGCTGAAGCCTTCCCAGGCACTGGCAGGACCGTGGGAATGAGCCACGGCCTCCCCCAGAGGAGGGACGGGGCTCTGTCCTTGGCTGGCACGCTCCCCGAGGAGCTGTGGGACCAAGTTCTGGTATCTGCCGGTTACACAGTCATTCACACGGGTCTTCCAGTAAAGAGAAGCAGAGTCAGGGCTCACTTCTGCTCCCTCACTTGGTCCATCATCTTGAGCAGTAGCCCTGCAGCAGGCGCTTTAATAAACTATTTCTGGTGATGCTAACAAGGGCATCACTAAAAGGTTGAGACTCTAACCGGGACTTGCGGGGACGACACGCGCCAACCACACAACGAGGCAGCAGCAGAACTCTGGACATACGCATTGAATCCCTGGGAAGAGCCACCTCACGATGAACTTCAGATAAATCAGATCTTGAATATTAAAGATGCACAGAGAAAACTGCATTTATGTTCCTGGGAGGGGATGTGTCACGATCCCTTTTTCTGCCACAGCCAGTGGATGATTTCTCTAAATGCTGTAGGACACATGTCCAGTCCCCTAAAATCTCAGCCTGATGGCACGTCTGCCACCCCCCAAAACAGGCAAGGCTGAGCCTCCCTCCCCAGGCTCCTAGGAACCCTTTACACCAAGATGGAGGCAACGGGGACCACTCTGGTTCACCTCCAGGTGGAAGGCTCTGTCCCACCAACCTGCTTCCTCTTCCCAAACATTGTGCTGCCCCCGGGAACCCTGGTTCAGTGCCAGAGAAAGCAAGCCACATAAATACTGCTCAGGTTACTGCTGGAGCAGGCGAGGGGTCCCAGGCAGAGGTCCCCGTTAACCTCCTCCGGCCTTATTCAGGGCAGGGTGGCCCCCACTTGCCAAGCTGCACCCGAAATCCAAACCCAGAGGGGAGACCACGTGAGGGGTCAGACAGCGAGTCATGTTGTACAACCCACTGGTGTCTATCAAGTTTATCTAGAGAAAAGAACCGAGCCACGTATTTGCTGGTTGATTTCAGAAACCCTGGCATTCCGGCCTCTGCCAGGCCAAAAGAATGCAAGGAATTTGGATGCCTTTCGCTGGGTTTCCCCGCAACCCAAACAGACCACAGCCTCCAGGACAAGGGGCTGTACTTATAAGGCAAGGGCAGAAGTATTTTAAGTCCCGAGACCTCAGTGTGGGGAGGACAGACCCTGGGACCACAGAGCTCCCGAATTCCTCACATCATTGAAAGCCCCCAGGGCGTAACGTGCAGGCATCCCAAACATTCTTTCTGTCCGAAAGCAGATACTGGAAAACAATGAGACCTGATAGAAAAGGTGGGGAGAGAAGAACGTTGGAACAAAATCCAGTCATTCATCCCCCAAGTTGACCAGAGGATGCGGAAGACTTAGGGAGAAACCTGGAATAATCCAGGCAGCTGTCCCTTTATATGGAAGGGTTTTTATTATTCAAACGTGATCAGGAGGGAAGCAGCCTCTGAGTGGCTCCTAATGAACTCCCCTCTTCCACCCGGTGTATGCAGAGGACCCATTTAATTCTACCCGATCCTTTCATCTGGTAAGGACACAGGGTGGCTTTTCAACCCAGGAAGGCCGTGTAGATGTCCCCATTGAGGTGACTGTTCTATTGCTGGCCAAGGGAGTAAGAATCAAGAGCCACTAAGATCCCACCCCTGGGTGAAATGAGATGGGGACCACACTGATCCTGGGAGCACCAAGCCCTGTACAGACTCGTCCCATCACTGTGCTGTACAACCTGAAACTAGCATAACGTTGTATGTTGACTGCGCTCCAATAATAAAAGAAGAAGAAGAAAAAAAGAACAGCCAAGAAAACACCCGAGAACATTCTACGAGGAGAGCATTCGCTCTGTCCTGGCTGCTGCAGAATGCCCGTTCTGCCAATGTGTTCCCAGGACAGATGCCCTCCCCGAGCCCCTCCCCGAGCCCCAGCGTGGGTGAGCCGTGACCGCAGCCTCATGGAGCTCTCTCTCTGCCCGCACCTCGTCACTGGTGGCCATTGTTTGGGAGCTCATAACCTCTTGCGTTGTAAGAGTAACTCCTTTGTGCAAACACGAAGGGGACGGCCAACCTGGGCTCTGCCCCACGGCTGTCAGGGCAGAGAACGAGCTGCCCGTCTGGTTTCTGGGTACAGTGTTCCTTTGGTGGCGCCAGAAAGGGAAGTCCCCGGTGCCATCTGACCTTCCCGGGTTGGGGACACTGAGAGCTGACGAGGATATGAAGACAGAGCCGTGAGGGAGATGTTTGCAGAACTGTAAAAGGCCAGGAAGCTTCTGGAAGTGACTCCTTCCCTCCAGAGCTGCTCTGCAGGCGTACGGGGCCCATCTCCCCATCTGGGTCCATGCACATTGGCCACGACAGTGGTCTCCACGCAGCAGGCCGAGACCAGCTGCTCATCCCAACAACCCAGGCTGCACGGCTTACCTCCAACAGGTCACCAGCTTCCTGATGTCAGAGTGAAGGTCCCAGGACCCGGCCTCCCGTCCACAGAAGGCAGATGCTGCAAGACAAAAGGGGAACACAGGATTCAGAGCCTTTGTCACCGAAACCTCTCCACGTTGCTTTCCCTCTTCCACGTCTAGGGTGAACCGTGCCCTGAGCCACGTTCACACGGTAAGGTGGGGACAGTGGCGGGCGCTGCGATGTGGCCCCGGATGCGCCTTCCATCCCCGTTGCTGGACGCCTGGAACCGCCCCCCTGGAGGCCCCTCCCAGCCCCTCCCTCCCTCCCTCCCCTCCCCGGGTAGCTGCGCAGGGGTGAGAAGCTGCCCCCTCCCCACTCCCTGCTGCTGATAACATGATGCAGGGCCGCCAGGGGCTTGGAGCTCCTGTGGGGCCTCAGAGGCCCACCCTGGCCTTCCAGGGGCGCTGACCCCAAGCATGAGCCCCCAGTAAACCTCTCATGCAAAGACCTGTGTCAGAGCTGGCTCCCTGGGCAGCCCAGCCTGCAACAAGGGCTTTTTATTTGTGATTTTTTCCCCCAGTGCCGTGTCATCCCTCATCTGCTGTCACTTCTGCAGAGACTGGCAGTTCAACAGAATAATTTTATCGGCCGATCCCAGTCTCCCTGCGAGCAGTGGGGCTTCCTGGGACGGCTGACTAGTTTACAGGACGCTGTCCCCCCAAGCCCCCCGCCTTGGGGCTTCAACAGTAAAACGAACTCCAGATGTACAGAAAGGCGTGGAAATAGGAAAAGAAATCAACCCGAAGCCAAGAGAAAACTGCGGCGTGGACGCAGTTAATCTCCAGGTAGACAGAACTTCGTGCAAGCGGCGTCCGAAGTCGCAAAGGCAAAGGGAAGAGCTCCATCAAAGTCAACCAACACTACGAAAAAGGCACCAACGTGAGAACATTTATTCAAACACGACAAAAGATTCAGATCCCAAAGGAGACAGGAAAATGCGGGCTGGGGCGGGATGTTCAAGACACAGGGAGCAAGACACCAATGTCCAGCCGGCGCACTGATCGTGGATGTGTCTGCCTCGCTATCCGCGGGCCCAAGGAAGACTCGCGGGACTCCCGAATGTTCGTCCAGGTGCCCGCGGTACTCGGAAGATCCATGCCACTTGAGAGCCCTCATTGTGTTAAAAAGGGGAAAACGTGCTGAAAAGGGACAAGAGGCGGTGATGATATTAACAGACGTGGCTTCTCAGAACAGGGTTGGTGGGGGCTTCTGCGTCTTTGGACGTCTCCACTCTTGCTGATCTGTTCTACAGTGAGTACAGCATTAAGTAGAGCACGCACTTTTTTTTTCCTGATTGTTAAGAGTCATTCCTCCCAAGTCACAATACCAGCCTATATAAAACTGGGGTGCCTCCTTTCCTATTCCCCACCGCTCCCCCAAATCTTGGCTGGGGTTGTGGGAATCTCTCGTCTCGTTCTGACGGGGTGCCAGCTCTGCTGGGCCTCGCTCCCCTGCTCTGGTCCGTGTGCAGGCCCCTCGCCTCGGCCTCCTGCACCTTTATTGCTGCTCACCCCGCCCCAGGCTGCCCAACGCCCATCTCGCAGCTACGAAATACACGTTTGCTGAGAAACTGCGGACTGCTACCTCGTCTGAACTCCAAAGAGTTGCCAGTTTTTCTCTTTTTGAAGAGCTTACCACAACACTCGTATTCACTGTTGTTTTAAGGGCTGAGTCACTTAGCATTTTTGGGGAAGGGCCTCGCAAGCTCTCTGGGGCTTGTCATTCACTCCTTCCAGAGGATCATTTAGGTAGAGAGTTTTATTTCATCACGTGAATCTCTGGCAGGTTTCCCAGACTGGGGGTGGCTGGGTCAACTCCTACCTCATACCTCATATGGGAGGACCCAACGTTGCCCAACAAGCTGACTCAGAGATGGCCATGCTGGACTTTGGGCAGGTACAGGAGTGCGGGGGCACACACACACGGAACCCTTCGGCCATCTGGTGCTGGGGGTGAGGGGAGGGAGGGAGATCTGGCTGTGAACGGTCCGGCCGGTGAGGTCTGGGGTGCATGGATTAGGTGGACAGGACCCACTGGCCCTTCTCCAACCCCCTAGCTCCATGGTCTACCTCTGAAAGCCCTATGTTTCGCACAAAGACCAGCGTTCCTGAGAGGAGAGTGGGCATGATCTTTTGACCGAGCACTGCTGTCCCCAGGGAGTGGCCACACACCTGTGTGGGCTCTCCAGTCCCCAAGGCCCCCAGAAGAAACCACAGGACTTCATGTAGGTTCATCGAGTTGGCATCAAGTCCCAAAGTCTAGAAGATGCCGAACTCCCGGATACTGTTTCAAGAAACATCACTGCTGTCATTGGACAAAATGAAGGGAAATCTCCAAGAACCACTGAGCTGTCAAAAAGCAACGTGGAGGGCGCCTGGGTGGCTCAGTTGGTTAAGCGACTGCCTTCGGCTCAGGTCATGATCCCAGGGTCCTGGGATCGAGCCCCACATCGGGCTCCCAGCTCAGCGGGGAGCCTGCTTCTCCCTCTCCCACTCCCCCTGCTCGTGTTCCTGCTCTATCTCTCTCTGTCAAATAAATAAACTCTTGGAAAAAAAAAAAAAGAACACATTTCTGGTGCTCAAGCCACCCAGCGTGCACTTCGCTATGGCAGCCGTAGGAAATTTTACGCTCTATCTGCAAAGTGGGAAAAGGAATTCTCACGATCCTGCCCATCTCGGGGGCTGCTGTGGGCATGACAGACTTTTTTTAAGGTTTCCAAGCCACCGTGACGGACACATATGGCTCCATCAGCAAAGGATTGCTCGTACCCGATGTCTGCCGATCTCTGGAGTCTCTCCACGGCAGGAACTGGCTTTCCCTCATCCCTACTCCTTATCCTGAAGGACACCAAAGTGAATAGAAAGTAGAACCAGATAAATTAGTGTCCTCCACCGGAGGGAAACTTTGGCCCAAGGGCCAAATCTAGTGCATCATCTGTCTTTGTATGGCCCATGAACAAAGAATGTTTTTTATTTTTAAATAGCTGGAGGTGGGAGATAAGAATAAGAGTGTTCTGTGACGTGAATATAACATGAAATTCAAACTGCAGTGTCCGTAAGTCAGGTTGTCTTGAACAGAGCCACGCCCATTTGTGTACGAAGCCGGAAACATTCCGTCTGACCCTTTACAGAGAGAGTCTGCCGACCTCATCGCTATACCAGCCCTACCCATGCAACGGGGCAAAGACCCAGGCCGTATTCGGCTCTGGGCAAAGGGAAGTGGGCACGTACCCACAGGGGCCTGGTTAAGCGCCAGCCGCGCTGGCCAAGCCGATGGGCATCGTGGCTAGAAACACAGACAGGAATGGCCCCGAAGGCAAACTCCATCAACTCACAATGGCTATCGAGAGCTGCTACCCCTGGACCTCAGTCGGGGAGGCACTGCCCCGCCCCCAAGAGCAGCTGAGCACCAGGAGTCTTGTTGCGAGCGACCCTCGGAACAAAGTGGGATCTCATGGCCTGACTTCACTCCGCGCTCTTCATTGTGATGGGAGAAAATCAGTCCCCTATAAGAGAGCCAATTAATAGAACTAAAATAAATAAGTAAATAACACTCTGGCAGACTGGCAATGGCCTTTATATTTAATGTTATCAACATCAACACACATGACACTGTTAACTGAACGCCTATTTAGGCAGGTTGTGGATGATTACCGCCAAGTCAAAGTGTCTGAAATCTCACCTGATTTAGGTGGTGACATTTTCTCACCCAGAATGCAGAGCTGGTTCACTGATGTTTCCCATAATTACACAACATTTCAAATTTTACCGAGTATGTGATTTATAGAGTGTGTGATCCTTTTCCCTCTCCTGTATGAAACCTGTACTGAATATTAAGCACGAAGGGAAAGGGGTTTATTGAGATGAACAACCAGACGCCCGCAGTGGTTTATTTATGTGTCTGTCCATTCACGCTCCCGGCCTGTGGGTTCCTACGGGGCACCTGACGCAGAAGCCAGCCGGTGGTCTTAGTCACTGTGTGCTCAGGTAATGATTTCAGGGTCTTGGGATGGAGCCGGGTCGGGCTCAGCAGCGGGAGCCTGCTTGTCCCTCTCCCTCTGCTCCTCCCGATCCCCCCAAATAAATAAAATCTTAAAAAAAAAAAGAAAAGGAACTTTATTCTTCTTCCAGGATTTGACTAACTTTTCCAACTAGCTGAGTGGTCACTTAAGGATGTTCGCAATCTGACCCAGCTCGCAAGCCTGGGCTTCCCCAGTGAGACCGGAAGTTTAAGTCCAGTGTCTGGACAATGGAGAGCTGCCCAAAGGCGGCATCCTGGGCTTTTGATTCTGACTTTTGATTCTTTTTCATTCTAACTGTGCCCGTGGATAAATGGGCGATGGCTCCAGTCAGGGAGCTGTGTCTGGGAGCGGGCTGTTGGCAGGAGGCAGCCAGGTAAATGGAAGATTTCTGTGGGTTTGCATTTCAGCTCAGCCCTTCACGAGCTCAACGGCCTTGGTTACATGGCCTAACTCGAGTCTGGGCCTTGGTTCCCTCAAGTGTAAAACCAGGCTCTCCATATCATGCAAGAGTCTATCCAATTAGACTTGTTCTTCTTTGGAACGTGGAGGACCAAATACTTAGTGCCAACTACATAGTAGAAACCCCACAAAATGATTGGGGAATAAGTAAAAGGTTGAGAACCTAACTGCTAACATTTGCATCAGGCCGTGGTTCTTGTCCTAGCACCAGGCAGACTCCTGGAGGCCTCATTAGAACAGATGGCTGGACTCCACCCCTGGGGCTTGGGGCTGGCCTGACAGCCTGCTCTTCTCCCTTGCTCCCAGGCGATGGTGACGTTCCTGGTCCCTGAACCACACTTTGAGAACCACTGGTACCCCACATGATGGTTGATGACGTACTTTCCCACTAGGCCTCTTGGCTGTTTCCCACAGTGATGCCATGAGGTGGGCAAGCAGGTATCGCTGTGCCCATTTCCGAGATGAGACAACTGAGACCAGACACTTTCGACCACCGACCTGAGGTCAGGAAGTGGGAAGCCAGGGTCACCAGGCATGGTGCTGGCCCAGCACCAGTGACTGATACACAGAAGATGGTCAAATGCAAAGTGAACAGAGGAAGACAAAGCAGGTTGCGGTAAGACCAGATGGCTCAGGGTCCTCACCATAAAGATGCCACACTGGGCTCCGATATCACCCTTCCTTCTTTCCTTCTTCTGAGACATAAATTATAAAACCTCCCAAGGATTTTAAAGTAGAAGGAAATTAAGTACCCTGCCTGCACCAGGTGAAAGGAGTTCAGGTGTGAGTCTTGGGAGAGGGTACAGAGTCCAGAGCACCACCAACCCTCCCCCCCCAGCAAATGCTGAGAAGGCTGAGAATATTTCAGATAGCTTGGTGTGTTGAAGACTCAGACCCTGTTAGGACCGGGACTCGAGTCCTGGCTCTGTCTGAATGCTGTGCTGAATGTTCTTCTCAGTGGCGGGCAGGTGGGGAGTCACCCGGCCTGGGCGTGAGTGCTGGCTGCTTCTTCCAGAGCCCCACGGCCACCTGCTCGCCCCTCCTCGGCCAGGGCCACCAGCCTGGTGACCTCTCGGATGCTCCTTCCTGGGGTCAAATCGTCACCCTGGCAACCTGTCACCTGGGCAACAGTTTAAGAGGCAAGAGAGGGAGACACGCAGCTCCACGCCTGACTCATCCCAAACTAAGACCCTGGGAAGCCTCCCCTCCCTATTCAGCTTTGTAAAAGGGCTGTTGAGGGGGAGAGGCACCGGCCTCCCCATGGGACTGTGGTTTAGAAAACCCAGCCAAAGTGGTGGAGCAAAGGGCAGAATACTTACTCTCTAAGAGCATGAAATGATCCATCATTCATTAATCCAACTACGTATCACAGACCACTCCCCTCCCCCTGCCTCCGAGAACAAACCATACCCGCAAAGCGTATCTAGAAACTGGGTCAGAAACAGAAGCGCTGGGACACACATTTTCTGAAGCCCGAGACCTGAATAAAGTCATAAGGGGACCATTCTGTATTTTTAAATATTTATCCAAAATGAATCTGCAGTTTCTAAATCTCTTTGTTGAGATAAGCACAATGTTATCCAGAAATGCAAAGCAGTCCCCAACCTCAGGGAATATCCTACTTTTTAACCAAGACGTTTTAAAAAATGCAAACTTAAAAAAAAAAAAGTTACGAAAACCCTGCAAACTCAAAAAAGCCACTGGAGTGGTGTGCGCCTTGGGAAACGTTTCCGCTGATGGCACCGGGCTGGGGGACTACCATCCCCCTGGCCACCAGCAAGGCTGCGTGGAAAGTCACCTCCCTCTGGGTCCCCCCAGCTTCCTGCTACAGCGTGAACTCATGGAATGGGGTCCTGGAGAGAACACAGCAGGCCAGGTGGTTATCATGGGGCCTGAAAGGTGGGTTCTGTCTGCCATCTCTCTTCCCGACAAAGCCATCTGCCCCTGCATGACCCGTCTCTCCGAATTGCCTTCATCATAAGCAACCGAAAACTAAGCATGAGAGGTGAACACGACTATAAACGCAGCTCGAGCTTCTGTGGCTGGTGCCCGTTTGGTTCAGGAGACAGCAGGAGGTTAGAGTATCAATGGGCCACTCTGTGTCATCTCACAAATCCCCATGGGCCTCTGCTCCTCGTAAAGCACCGAGGGACAGCAAGGGAAGGAAGAAACTCGGGTCCTGCATTCTGGAACTGGAAGGAAGAGCAAGCAGGCACAGAAATTCAAGCCTGGAAACGGAAGACGCCGAGGGACAAAATGCTCACCCGAGCGCAGAACCGGGTGCGGGGGCTCTAGACGGGGAAGGTGCCGGCCAGCAGGTGCCCAGGGAGGACGCCAGGTGCACGGGGCGGAAGTCCCTCTGCAGGTGGGAGTCCCCAACTCCTTACGTCAGGCTCTGCATTCAGAGGTCAAATCAAAACAGATGGATTCACAAATGTGAACCTGGCGGCTGACCACTGGGCCTTCTGGCCAAGGCACAGACACAGCTGGGTGATATGAATGAGCACGTTCAGGCAGCTCTGGTCCAAGCCAGTGGGCTATTCTATAGTGTCAGAAATTCCCAGTTTAGAAAGCCAAGGAAATATTTTGTTCCATTAATTAGATACATTGGGCGCCTGGGTGGCGTCTGACTCTTGATTTCAGCTCAGGTCATGATCCCAGGGTTGTGGAATCCAGCCCCGTGTTGGGCTCTGTGCCGAGCCTGGAGCCTGCTTGAGATTCTCTCTCTCCCTCTCTAGACCCCTCGTCACTCACGTGTGCTCTCTAAAAAAATAAATAAATAATAATAAGATACATTTACACTCTGCTAAACTGGAGAAAAGCAAAGGGTATTCACGCTCCAACGGACATTTTACATTAAAAATAAATACATTTGCCCTGGCTTGAGTCCAGGCTGAAGGCCAAGGCCATCAGAGCTCACAACTCCCACGGAGTTCCTGACCTTAGGTTGGGCCTGGACCCAGTTCAGGCCCCACAGTCCCAGGCCACATGTCAGCAGGGAAGCCCATCGCAGCCTTCTGAAGGCGCCAGGGGCTAGACCTTCAGTCCCCTGCGTTCAGGGCTCTGCCCAAATGTCACTTCCTCAATCCCTCGCAGGAACTTGGTGGCCTGAAATGCCAACTCATTCTCTTTCAGTCTGGAGGTGAGAAATCTGAAACCAGTCTTAAAGTCAAGGTACTGGCAGGTCTGGTTCCTTCTGGAGGCTCTAAGGAGAGAATCCGCTTCCCAGCCTTTTTTGGCTTCGAGTGGCCACCTGTGTTACTGGCTTGTGGCCCCTCCTCCATCCTCAAAGCCCACCACCCTGATCCCTGTCTCCTTCATCACAAGGCCTTCCCTGGGGTCAGATCCCCTTTGCCTCTCTCTCTTAAAATGACACTTGCCATTACATTATATTTAGGATAATCCAGGGTAATCTCTCCTTAAATGAATCATATCTGCAAAGTCTTTTTTCCGTATAAAGTAACATTCACAGGTTCTAGGATTAAGATGGGAATATCTCTGGGAGGGGAGCGGCGTAAAATTCAGCCATCCCATATCCCATCCAAACCAGCACACTTCCACCCCCCTCCCAATCCCTCAGGTGACTTATCACTCCTGACATGCTCTGTTGATCGTTTTATTTCCTTTCTCTTCTACTAAAGAAAATGCTCCATGAAGGCAGGGACATCGTCCTGTTCAGCTGGAACCCCCTGGAGCACAGCAGGTGCTCACTCAGTCGAACTACAGAAGCCCCCAGAGGAGTCACATCCATGTCTGGAACAAGCTAACTTGCTCCATCCGTGGGGGCAGGAACCCACCCGTCTCACTCACTGCTGTGTCCCCAGCCCCAAGCCTGCACCTAGCACATAGTCAGATGCTCCATTACTAGTACCTGTTCCCTGAACATTCATACCTACCACCTGCAGTTTGATTTTGGAGCAACTCATCCACACCCAGGGGGTCCCAGCTGCCCTGTTCTTCCGCCAAACCTACCCTCCTGCTGCCTCACCTGCTTTCCCCGCTCACCTGCTTCCCCTGCCACCTGCCCACCTGGGGCCTGGCTTCCCCGAGCCATTTCAAGGCTCTCCTCCGTTTGGCCCTATTCCATCTCCAGCCTCCTTAGTACCCACGGCCAATTCCCTTCACTGACCAGGTCAGCCGCCCAACCCCAAAACCCCTGCACACACATCCCACCTTCTCCTGTAGGGAATGCCTCCTCAGTCCCCTCCCTGCCCATGCAAAAATGACCCAAGGTCCAGCTCCTACCCACCTCTCCCCCAAAGCCTGTGACTTCACTCTCGGCAGCAACCCCGCCCCCACTTCGAGGCCGGCACTTCCAGGCCAGCCAGCCCAGGTGAGCTCCTTCCGGTTGCCTGGGGGTGAGTCTCTGATGAGCACTCGTGCTCTCCAGAGGATGACGCTACATTTCTCCAGTGCCATCCTGCTCCCGGACCTTCCGTCAGGCAGACCAGCAGGTCAAGCCCCCACTCTGCATTTATGAGCAACATGCCGCAGGACAGGCTGTGGGCCCTGCAGCGCTCTGCCAGATGGCCAGCCCCGTGCCAGCACCAGGAGGCGTCCACGCTCCGCACGGAACAAAACTGGGGAAGCCACAGGTGTGTCCCCGAGTGGCGCAAGCAAGCCAGCCCAGAGCAGGTGATGCCCCTCCGCACCTGAGAGAGGCCCAGGCACCACGTGAGACCCAGAACGAGGACGGCAAAGAACAGCCGGGGCTGAGGGGGGCATTGGCTCTCCAGAGAAAATACAGGACACCCAGTTAAATTTGAATTTCAAACGCAGAACAAATAACTGTATTAGTGTAAATATGTCCCAGATAGTCAAATACACCTGGATGTCGTGCATTTTTATTTGCTAAACCTACACCCCTACGGGGGTGGGGGGTGTACAAGGGTGGGCACCCCAGGCTGTGCCTCACCTCCGGGGAGGGGTGGGGGGTGGCCTCCCAGGAAGGAGGAGGGGCGATCAGCCGCCAAGCCCGCTGTGGTCCACTCCTTCAGGACTTCACTAACAAAGATAGTAACTTCCCACTAAAGAACTTTAAAATAAATAAATAAAACAATTCTTGCTGGCTGGAGAAAAAGGTTGTTTCAATAATATTTTTCCATTCCTGCATCATCTGCAAGAACTCACAAACAAAGCAGCCACTTTCCAACAACAAAGATCGCCATGGAAACAGATCACCTCCATCCCGAAAACCATGACTTCACCTCACATTCCACCAGAAACCGACTACAGACTGTTACCAGAAAAATCCCTGTGCAAACAAACAGAAGCCAACTGCCACTGAATGGCAGGAAATGGAACCGCTTTTTCTAATTTTAACTTTCTCTAGGAACGTACTTGTTCTAAACATGCAGGGCACAGTCTCCCCGGACCCACATTCCATCAGTGGAGGGATCACCTCCAGAGTGCAGAGCAAAATGCAGACTGAGAGTGGCTGGCGGGCAGGGCGCACCCCGAGCCCCAGGCCCGGTGCTGACTCACGGATTTCTCCAAAATGACGGAGGCTGACACCAGCTCCTTGAGCAAAAAGTACTCCCAGGCCAGGGGGGTGGCCCACAGGAGACCCAGCGGGCAGACTCGCCACAGGGATGCAGAGTCAAATAATTACAGTAAGCAGGAGCCTAATTTCACAGGGACAGCCAAGGCCGCCCAAAGACTGGACCTCGATGGGCCAGAACCGGCACCCTCGAAAGTAATTCTGTAAATGAGCCCCCTGCGACAGGATTCGGCTTTTGACTTATTGGGACTGTGAAAGTCTGCGAGGCCAAATGACAAACGGGGAAGCTTGCACCACTCCAAGCCAAGAAAGGCTCTTTTTCCAGAAAATTCAAAGAAATCCTGCCATTCAGTAAGGAAAAGGAGTTAAAAACCATGAAAAGGACCTTCACCTTGGAAACACCAGGAAAGCCGATAAACAAGGTTACGGTGATTTGTCCAGAAGGAAGCATAAATTAAAACAAATCGGATACCCTCTCCCTTCCATCAGACCTCCTCCCAAAATGACAAGTCCAACCACAGGGAGCGGTGGTGGGGATGCAGAGCAACCTGAATGACCCGAACGTTGTTTGTGGGGCTCCCCACGGTGGGACCCCACGAGAGAGGCATCTGCATGCAGGTGGTAACAGCAAGAGCTATGAACAAGCTCTGGCCCCTGAGGGCAAAGGGAGTAAGTAAACAGAGGTATGAGCGTACAGTGGAAAACTGTAGTAAGAGTCAATAAACTACAGCTAGACCCCATCCCCACAGGTGAACCTCAGGAACATGATAGGCAGCCAAAAAGGAACTCTCAGAAGATTACGCATCGGGTACCCCGCGCTGCGTAACAAATGACCACACACAACACACCTACTTCACGGTTTCTGTAGGTCGGGGATCCAGATGAGGCTTGGCTGGGTCCTCTACTTCAGGCTACAGTCAAGACCTGAGCCAGGCCTGGGCCTCATCTGAAGGTTCGCGTACTTACTGGCAGCTTTCAGTCCCTTGCCGGCTATCGGACCACAGGCCTCAGGTCCTTGCCAAGTGGGACTCTCTCTATGGCATCGTGCATGATCAAAGCAAGCAAGAGACAGAGTCTGTCTTCAAGAAGGAAGTTATAATCCTATGTAACCTAACCATGAAGGGATGTCCATCACTGGACGAACCCTATCAGAAGTGGGATGCCAGGCTAGCCACAGCAGGGGAGGGATTACTCAAGGGTGTGAATAACAGGTGGGGACCCCTGGGGACCACATCAGGGTTGGCCAGCCACAAACAGAAAATGCATGCTTCCATGTACATGTACGTTGCAAACACGAAAAACAATGGACAATGCTTAAGGACCCAATGTTTATTGGCTATGTGGAAAAACTATAAGTAGCAGGGGAAAACCACCAAGTTCAAGTTAGGGGCTACTTAAAAGCTTACGCTAGACTGGGTAAAACACACTGGGGACGGAGTGAGAGGACATGGGCATGGAGGGGGCAGGAATTCAAAGGTGAAGTTCTACTTCTCGGCCCGGGTAATGGCTACATAAGTCTCTACAGGCATTCATTGTATTCCTCATTTTTCTGTTCACCCCCCAAAGTGTTCTTTGTATCTACTCAACATTTAGGGACCCCAGGGCTGGCCTTCCGGCACCTCGTGGAAGAGCGAGGACGGGCGCCTTGCACACTGCCGCAGTCCCCCCGGGCACCCTGCCCCTCAAACAAAACAGACCAGCCTCCACCCAGAAGCAGGGCCCACCTGGAAATCCTTCTCTCTCCTCCCAGCAAACCAAGTTCAAAGGCCTCCAAGCTTTACCTGGAAGCCTTCTCCTCCAGGGCTGGATTATGACTCAGAATCCGCCCCACCTCTTCCCCGACTCCCTTCCCTGCA